AAACCTGAAGTGTATCGACCGGCGACGACACCCGAGTTGAACTTGCAGGAAAGCGCACGAAAAAACCTTCGAAACCGAAAAACCAACTTCAAATAAAATTACTTTCAAGTTTATCACCAAGTGGGAGAAAATTCAAAGAGAAATAAACCTAATTCGCTGCAAACCGCGCCCAACTCGACGCGCAGCAGCTAGCAACCAATGGCTAGCGTGTGCGCTGAGACGACCCCAACTGCCGCCGCTTTCGCCGCTTTCCCCGACATCTCAAACATAATTTCCCATTAGTTATTTAATTTCAAACAAAGTGACTGCTTTCTTCCAGTAATTTAAACATTTTCGCCGCCGCCGGACCAGCTGTACATACACCCCAGCGCCGCTCTGTGCAACGCGTCCAAACAGTCCACCAAGCGCCGCCAGTTCCCCTCAGCAACTCAGAACACCCGCGGCCGAAGAAGTCTTTTTTAATCAATTTTAAATAAAATAAATAAATTAAACATAAATAAAAATTAAACCGAAAAGAAAGACCTGCTAGCAACTCTGCTTTCCCGCTATACGGCGCAGCAGCAGCGCCTGCAGCTCCTGCCCTCGCTCCCCTCTAACTGCAGCAGGACTCATGCCTCATTTTTTTAAAACTATTTTAATTTAATTCAAACATATCTTTTCTGTTCATGTTTCGAGGCACACTCCCCTGCTTCCCGTCTCCAGAAAGTTTCAAAGACAGCAGCAGCAAATCGGCCGCAGCAGCAGATCGGCTGCAGCAGCAAATCGGCTAGAGCAGCTCGTCCAGGCCAGTGAGTTGCTGCTCGGGTGTACGTACACTCCATTCGCAGCAGCAGGGCCTTTATCCAGCCCCTTAGTTACACCAGTTCACTAGTTAAGAAGTGTATTTGCGGGGAGGAAAAACAAAGAGGGAAATGAATTTTAGTTGTTTGGTTCCCACCAGAACAAGAACTGCAGGGCCCTCTGAGGTGTCTGTACACCCCATGAGGTGTTTGTACACCCCATGAGGTGTCTGTGCACCCCATGAGGTGTCTGTACACCTCACTTGGCTCTTGAACTACTGCACAATTTGAAATTGAATTTCATTTATTTAGTTTTGTTTGGCCATTACAAATGGGGGTCCTTTGCTCTTAATTTAATCTTCTGATGAACTTTTGAATCGGCCAAAGGCTCCTCTAAAAAACGAATGGGGTGTACGTACACCCCAACCCACACGGCCACGGACCCGCAGCCTCCACAGCTCAACTCCTTCACACACTTTTCTTTTCTTCGTTTTCTTTTTTTCCTTTTTTCCTTTTTCCGTTTTTCCAGTTCCTTCTATCCGTTGTCTTCAGCCCTTCAGGTGTACGTACACCTCCTACGCAAACTCAAGAATCTTTGTCACGCGCCCAGCAGCTATCGTTTTGCCTGCAGAATAAAATTAAAATAAAATGAACTACAATAAAATATATCAAAAAAAAATAAAATACAATAAAAGCTTTACATGCACTCCAGCTCTCCCGCTGCATGCAGCGCTGCACTGACCTCAGCAACACAAGTAGCAAAAAGGTCTCTTATGTTTTGCTGCTGCAGCTGCTATTGCTGCTGCTGTTGCTGCTGCTTTTGCTTCTTATATGCACTCCCAGCGGAGTGTCTGTCCACCGGAGGCGCAGCATGCAATTAAATCTGCATTAATGGCTAAAACTAAGTTCATTTTCGGCCCTTTAAATTAAATAACAAAAACAAACAATTAACATCTCCAACACTTTGAATTCAAATTAAATCACAAACAAAATAATTACCTTCGTCGCGTAGAGTGAATCGCCCCAACTGAGAACACGCCTCGTACTCCTCCATACACATTGGCTTCGACAGCTGCAGCAGCAGCAGCAGCAACAACAACGGCAGCAGCAGCAGCAGCAACAACAACGGCAGCAGCAGCGGCAGCAACAACAAGGGCAGCAGCAGCGGCAGAGAAGAAGTATTTCGTATAGGCAGGGCAAGAAAAGACATTAATCGATAAATCCGCGCTGCAGCTGAAGTGCTTTTCGCTGCACTGGCCGGAGCAGCACGCAGATGGGAGTAGCTGCCCTCTGGCAAATAGGGCCAAGGGTGTAGGGTGTAGGGTTTAGGGTTTAGGGTTTACTATGATCTCGACGCTGACGAGGCAGTCGCTGGTAACGAACTGGGGATTTGTTTTTTTCTTTTTTCCGTCAGAAGACTCTGCAGGTACACTTGAGGAGCGCGTTTGCTTTTCTCAGAACGAAACGAACAAAGCCTTGAAAGCAACCCCAAACGAGCACCCCGCCCGCCCAAACCCCAGCAAAACACGCAAGGCCTGTTGCCCAGCGCGCCTGCAGGCGCGCATGCACGCATGCACGCGCGCCTGCACGCATGCACGCCTGCAGGCGCGCCTGCACGCCTGCAGGCGCGCCTGCACGCATGCAGGCGCGCCTGCACGCCTGCACGCCTGCAGGCGCGCATGCAGGCCGGGTGTACGTACACCGGAGCGGCGCTGCGCAGAGGCGCGGCCGCGACGCCGCGCACGCACACGCCGCCGCCTGCGGCGCCCGCAGCACCCCCAACGGCCCCGCGCACGCAAAACTGACCCAAAATCCTGCCGAGGACGACCTCCTCGCGCGCCGTGTGGACGTGCATGACGCAGGCGTAGCCCGCAGTCAGCAGCGGGCGGTGCTCGAGCAAGTCGAGCACCTTCGCGTAGGCCAGCAGCCGCGCGGCCACGGGGCACGGGCGCGCGGGGCTGCACAGGACGGCGCCGGCGGCGAGGGCGTCTTCTTCGCAGCCGAGCAGCTTGAGGCGGACGTTTTCGCCGACGGAGGCGGCGGCCACTTCGGCCTCGTCCAGGAACACCCCGCCGACCTTCACGCGTTTTTTCTGCGGCAGCAGCAGCGCCTGCGCGGCCCCCAAACCCCAAACCCTAAACCCTAAACCCTCGGCCCTGGCCCTTCGCTTCGGCGCTGCGCGCCGGCCCTGGGGCGGCGCGGTGGGGTGTCGGCGTGCGGGGGCGGGGGACGGCGCCCGCAACCCGCAACCCGAAACCCTAAACCCTAAACCCTAAACCCTGGACCCTGATGTCTGCACTCTGGAGCCCCGTGCTGCGCTATGTGTGGGGCGACTGGGGAGGGGCTGCGGTCAGAACGGGAGCGGGGTGCCGACAAGCAGCAGTGTGCGCATGCGTTTGCATGCATGCGCATTTGCATGCACGCCTGCAAACGCATGCACTTCCATGCACCCAAATGCATCCATGCAAACGCATGCACGCTTACTTCCATGCCGTAAGTCACAGTGCCGGCCTCGACTTTGCCCAGCGCTGTGACGCCGTTGTCTTTGTAGCTGCAGCACAGTTGCAAACATAGGAATGCTCTTTAAACCCTAAACCCTAAACCCTAAACCCCAAATCCTAAACCCTACACCCCAAACCCCAACCCCAACCCCTATAGTCCAACCCCCAAACCCCAAACCCTAAACCCTAAACCCTCTCACCCGTCGAGAATGGGGATTCGGAGTGGTGCGTCTGGGTTTCGGGGCGGAGGGTTTAGCGAGTCGAGGACTTCGAAGAGAGTTGGCTCTTCGGGGGAGTACCAACTCGCCCGCGGCTCGAAGCAGGGGCTTCCTGGCCGCGACACGTGGCACTGCATGCATGCATGCATGCATGCATGCATGCAACGAACTCGAACTTGGGGCTTTTCACACGCATGCAAACGCGTGCAAATGCATGCATGCACAGGCATGCTTATGGCATATACTTGGGGACTTTGGAAATGGGGCTTTTGAAATGCATGCAATACTGCATGCATGCATCAAACAGATACTTCACAGAACTTGAAATTGGGGCTTTTGAAGTGCATGCAACACTGCATGTATGTATGCATGCATGCATGCATGCATGCATGGAGTTGCTGGGTTATCCCAAGGCTCTGGGACCACCTGCTCCACCCCCTTCTTAGGGAAGCTCCTTCCGCCCGAGGAAGCTTAGGGTTTAGGGTTTAGGGCTTGGGGTTTAGGGTTTAGGGCTTGGGGTGGGTACCTTGAGGTTTTGGCCGGCGAGTCCGGAAATGGGAATGTAAGAAAGGTTTTTGCCAAAGATAAAACCACAGTTTTGGAAAAAAGTTTTTGTCTTTCTTTGGATTTCACGATAACGTTCTTCACTCCACTGGCAAGTGGACTCGTCCATTTTGTTCACCGCAACCACCAGCTGGCACACCCCTGCAACAAACCCTAAACCCTAAACCCTAAACCCTAAAACCCAAACCCTCAGCCCCAAACCCTAAACCCTAGACCTTGACATTCGGAACCAGGCCCTAAACCCTGAGCACCACACGCGGAGCCCCAACGCGTAGCTCTGGGAACTGAGCTCACAAAATGAAGTCCAAACCCTAAACCCTAAACCCTAAACCCTAAACCCTCGAGGGGTTTTCTCATGAGCCGTGCAATGTGCAGTGGCGCAGAGGTGACTCCAGAAAAAGATAAAAGCAGAAAAGAAACAAAAGAAAGAAACGAAACAAAAAAGGAAAAGAAACAAAAAAGAACAAAAAAGGAAACGAAACAAAAAAGGAAAAGAAGAAAGATAAATGCAAAAGACCCACCGAGGGTTTTAGCCAACAGTGTGTGTTCTCTTGTTTGTCCTCCCTTTTCAAAACCCGTTTCAAATTCTCCTTTTCGAGCAGAAATAATCAGCACCCCCACGTCAGCCTACACCACAAACCCCACAACGCATGCATGCATGCATGCATGCATGCATGCATTGAGTGTACGTACATCCCAGCATGCATGCATGGAGTGTACGCACGCCGCTGCAAAAGAAACATTGAAAGCAAGAGAGTCACCGGGCTCCACAATCAATGGATGCCTGCATGCATGGATGCACGCACGCAAGCATGCGCGCATGCATGCAAGCGAATGCATGCAAAACCCCATGCATGTATGCATGCATGCATGCATGCAAACTGTTGGCAGAGAGCGCCTAGAACAGAACGGCACTTCCGAAGGCCCCCCAACGTCCCCAACAACCCGCATGCACTCCTACAAGCACGCATGCGTGCATGCATGCATGCAGCTCCAAACGCATGCATGCATGCATGCATGCATGCGGACCTGGGCTGCGCCTTCAATCATGTTGGGGACGAAGGCTTTGTGGCCTGGAGCGTCCAAAAGAGTAAAGCGCCGATTTGGAGTGCTGAAGGCGGCGCGGCCCACTTCCACTGTTTTGCCCTAAATAAATAAATAGATAAATAAATAAAATAAATAAAATAATTAATTAACTCTAATTAATTAATTTAATTAGTTGGGGAGTTGGAGAGAGGAGAAGAGCTGAGGTTACAAATGCAAGAGTGAAATTCAACTGGCAGCGAAACTATGAATAAGTCAGAAAAAGTGAAATTAATCAAATAAAGAGGACTTAAAAGGAAATAAAAGGCGAAGGAAACCACGAATTGAAGGCAGAAAAGAATTGAAATAAAAGAAATAAAAGAAATAAATAAAGAATTGAATAAAATAAGATATACAACCAAACAAACAAACAATTAATGAATTAATTAATTAATAATTGCCTATTGTCTTTCTTCCTCATTAGCATCCACAACAAAGGCCAAAAGCCATGAATATAAACCAGAAAAAGAATCAAAATAGAGGAAATAAAACGAAGAAAATAAAGCACTAAAGACACCAAACAAATCAGCCAATGAATTAATTAACCAATTAACTCATTAACTAATTGATTAATTTACAATTAAAAGAATTACATTTTGCCGTTCCTCCTCGTTGGTGTCCATGAGAAATGCCAAAAACCACGAATTGAAACAACCAAAAACAATCAAAATAAAGGAAATAAAAGGAATAAAACACGAAAACAAACGAGCAAACGAACCAACAAACAAACAAATGAACTAATCGCCAAACTAATCGCCAAAAGCTTTACTTTTTGCCGTTCCTCCTCGTTGGTGTCCATGACAAATGCCAAAAACCACGAGTCTCTGTTTTTGTCTTTGGCTTCTTTTTCGTACTTCTCTATTGTCCTCACATCCACCCCCCCCGTCAAAAACAAAATGTTTCCACAAGTGGTGCTTTTGCCGGCGTCGACATGGCCGATGAAAACAATGTTCAAGTGGGGCCTCGCGTCGGGGCCCCTGCGCGGGGTTTTGCCCGCGGGGGCCCCCGGGGGGCCCCCCAGGGGGGCCCCCCCGGGGCCCCCCTCCTCGCCCTCCAGGTCCGAGCCCTCCACTTCTGCTGCTGCTGCTGCTGCTGCGCAGCAGCTCGCGGGCGATCGCGGCGAGCAGCAGCCCGCGTCCAACGCGGAGGAGCTCGGGTCAGCCGCCAGCTCTTCAGCTGCATGCAGCAGCAGCAGCAGCAGCAGCAGCAGCAGCAGGGGGAGGGGGAACGGGTTTGCGCAGGTCTCGCGCGCGCATGCATGCGGCATAGAGGGATTTAAAGTGGGAAATCTTTCGAATTTTATATAATAGGATATACATCTTTGAGCTAATTACCACACACGCTCCGCAGATGTACATATACATATATATATTTGCTGCAGAAACAGGAATCAAACACAGAACCACACTTCCGCTGCAGCAGCAGCAGCAGCAGCAGCAGCAGGAGGCGTAGGCCTCACCTTCATCTTCCCAAGTCTTCTCAGTCACAGAGGCAGCCTCCAGACTCTTGCAGAGCTCCCCCACCTGAGCGGCCTCGGGGGCCCCCAAGGGGGCCCCTGCAGGCTGCGGCTCGGGGGTCCCCAGGGGGGCCCCTGCGGCCTGCGGCTCCGGGGGCCCCACGGGGGGGGCCCCCGGCTGAGGCTCCGGGTGCCCCACGGGGGCCCCTGAGGGCTGCGGCTCTTTGGAGCTGTACGTCGGCAGGACAAAGGGCCGGCCTGCAGCGCAGAGAGGGGAAATGGGGGGGGCCTTTCGTGCAGAATGAAACTCTAAAGCTGGCCGATTCGCATGCAGACCCGCCACTTCGGTGCAACAAAATCGCGATTTTCACGGAATAAATGCAACTTGTCAACAAGAAAAGGTATTATTCATCAATAAATCCGAAAAAAATGAAAAAATCGAATATTTTGAGCTGCGGGTACAGCTGAACGAAGCGGATCGCGGAAACTTGAATTCGCGTCTGAGGTGTACAGACACCTCGATCCGCAAGCAGTTTCCTCCAGACTTGAAAGTCTGAAGATAAATTTCACTTTAAAAATGGCATTTTAGGACAGAAGTAAACGCATGCATTGTTCGCATGCAACTGGATTTGTGCAGCAGCAGCAGCAGCAACTCACCTGGGATGAACTCCGGGGCGTTTGTGTTGAAAGAGTATTTTGACATTTTCGAAAAAGACAAACAAAAAGAAGTCAAGAAGGAGCTCTTGAGGAACTCCCTCTGCCCCTCAGCAGCAGCCACAGCCGAGGTGAGCTCTAGGCGGCAAATGCCCGCAGCAGCAGCAGCAGCAGCAGCAGCACCAAAACAAGTTAACAACTGCCTCGCCTCTCCTTAACTAACGAATCCTTCACTAACAAATCTCACTCAGCCGCAGGGCCCTATTCGCGAGCCTCCACCGTTCGTACTCCTACAGCCAAAGCATGCACAGCAGCAGCAGCAGCAGCAGCAGCAGCAGCAGCAGCCGGTGTGCTGCTGCTGCTGCTGCGGCAACAGTACATTTCCGAGCGTCCAGCGTCTGGCTTTTCGCCCCTCAGCTTAAATAATTAAAACTTTTACTTTTATTTAATTTAGTTTATTTGAATTTAATTTTATTTCATTTGCTGCTGCGGTCGCCCTCCGCAGCTTCGTGCTGCTGCTGCAGCGACGCTCACTGCACCAGTTCAGCGCGGAAGTCCTCTTAGAGTGAATCTCGATTTATATTTCCTTCTTAAATAAATAAATTAAATTATTTAAAATGATATTAAATAGATTTTTATTATAAAATTAAACAACCTGGAGCAGCAGCTGCAGTGTCAGTACACTGCGCTGCTGCTGCTTGAATTGCTGCTGCAGCGCAGCAGCAAGACAAGTTGCATTTCATTATTAATTAAATCCTCTCAAAGCCAAAACAGCTTTAAGCAAATGCAGCATAGCTCAAAACGAACAGCGCTGCTGCTTTTGCTGCTGCTGCTGCTGCTGCAGCAAATTTGCTGCTGCTGCTGCTGCAGCAACTAGCAAAATTCGAATTTGTCTGCAGATCTGTTGCCTGGCTGGAGCTTACTAACGCTAGAAAAGTTCCTTTATCTTTTTATTTTCTTTTTTGAAATATTTTTTGCCTTTTTCTGTTTTCTTTTATTTATTCTTCACTTTTGAATATTTCAATTTCAAATCTTTTTTGCTTTTACTTTCTCACCCCCTTGCCTTTTTCTATTCTCTAATTTCTTTTTAATTACTTTTTTAATTTCTTTTAAATTTCTTTTATGAGTTCTTTTATTTCTTGTTATTTCTTTTTATTTTCTTTCTGTTCCTTCTTTTTCTCCTCCTTTCATGTTTCCTGTCGAGGCTAAACCAGCAAAAGAAAAACAATTTAATTTAACTTCCTTGTTAAATTTTAAATTTCGAAATAAACATTTTAAATTAGTTTTTAATTTGAAAATCGGAAATAAACATTTTTAATCAGCAGCAAAATACTTTGGTGTCTTTTGCAGCACTCTGGGGCTCTTTGAGGCATTTCAAAGCTTCTCAAGCTGCTGAATGAGTTTTAATTCCTAAAAGCCTATTTAAAAAGGATTATAAAAAGATTATTTAAAGCATTTTTGAGACAATTTAAATCAATTTAAGACTATTTAAAAGATTCAGGAGCACCCAGAGTGCTGCTGCTGCTGCTGCTGCTGCTGCTGGCTGGGCAGGTCCATTTGCTGCAGGTTTCCTGCTGCTGCGCTTCAGTAGCTCAGCAGCAAACAGCAAATTGAAATGCTGCACCTTCTTCTCTAGCAAGTCATACTAAGCCCTGGGGGCCCCGGCCTTTGAAGGGGCCCCTTACCAGCAGCTCTGGCGGGCCCTTCTCGCTCAAAAGAAAATAAAATACCCTTAAGGGGGCCCCTAAGGGAAATAGCCCCAACAAGAGAGCCAACAGGGGCCCCTGGGGCCCAAAAGAGGGGCCCCTGGGGCCCCAAAGAGAGGCACTGGGGCCCCAAAGAGGGGCCCCTGGGGCCCCAAAGCGGAGGCCCTGGGGCCCCAAAGCGGGGCCCCTGGGGCCTCCGGGGCCCTAATGGGGGGTACCTAGGACCCCAAAGCGGAAGCCCTGGGGCCCCAAAGCGGGACCCCTGGGGCCCCAAAGAGGGGCCCCTGGGGTCCCAAAGGGGGGCCCTAAAGGGTGGACCCTGGGGCCCCAAAGAGGGGCAAATATATGTTGAGCAAGTCTTTTGTCACTTCTAACAAGTTCAAAGACTTTCTCTTCCAGCTTTTTCTTCCACTCAAGGGAAAAGAAGAATAATATATCCAAAAGAATAATATCTTTATTTATTTTCGCAAATTCCACTTCCCCAAATTTTCACCGAAATCTCAAAGCAGCTAAAATAGCACTTTTCCCCTCAGAAAATTTGGCCGCGGGGCGCTTGTGGGTAAAAGGCTAAAAAGTCCTGGGGGCTCTTTTGATTTCAATCCTTTTGATTTGTTTAATAAAAGATAAAATAAAACTTTTAAAATTAATATATATAAGAATATATGTCTAATAAAAGATAAAATAAAACATTTTAAACTGTTTAAATTGAAATTGTTTCGAAATTGATTGCGAACTCCCTCGGCGAGATGTTCATGCAAGAAAGTCCTTTTGGATTTTTCCAACTCGAAGTTCGACTAAGGCCGCCAGTCTTTTCATTTTTTTCTTTTTTAGTTTTTTATTTAAAAATAAAAACACTTCTATTTCCTTTCTGTCGAATGTGGTTGTCAGAAAAATGCAGTTTATATGATAAGTAGCCAAGCTGGCTTCCTGGAGGCACTTGTGCAAGTGCAGGAGTCTAAAGGCAGAAACACATGCACTATTTAGAAAAAGAAAAAACTTTTTGGAAAAGTTTTTGCAAGCATAATTATATTTTAAAGGGCAAAAAGGAAAAGAGGCAAAGTCTCAAATTTGCAAAAGACAGAGGCGCGGGGATTCAAAGCCGTGGCTGAAAAGGAATCGCCGTGAAAAGAAGGAAGTTTATTAGAATACAGTGAAAGAGATAAAACAAATAATATTTATCGTTGTTAAAAAGATAAAAGAGAAATATTTTTAATGTTTTGCTGTTGAAGCTGTTCGTTTTCAATAGCTGAAACGCGAAAGTCAGTGATGTGGCATATTGAAGGCACTGTACTAAAGATCAGGGGCTACAATCGAGCAAAAAAATTGGGAAAGAAGGATTAAAAGTCAAAATTTGAATATAGAGAATGAAATGAAGAAGATTAAACGGATTAAATTGCAGATAAGATGCAGGAAAGTAAGGAAACGAAACAAATTGAACAGTTTTGGCTGCCTGGGCTCTTGAAAAGCAGCCTTAAACTTCTCAAATTTCAAGTTTAAAAGTAAAGAAATGAAATATCATTTAAATGATGTTTCACCCACTCAAGAGTGACGGGACTCTGCGGTGCATTCATTCAGGAAGAATAACCTGCGGCGCTTCTACTTCATACGCCTTCCCGCCGCGGGTCTTTAGGAGTTCTGAAAAGGTATTAATTGTTTTCTGGTAAACAGATATGTCAAAGAATCTTTTTTAGTGAATAGAGATGTAAAAAGAGTTCAGGATGAACAGACGCAGAGCAAAAATTCATGTTTGCAAACGGCATCGAGAGCACGATTTCACGAAAACGGTGTGAACACTGCTAAGCTAGATAGCACCGCTCGCATTAAATTAATTTTTTCCTTTTAATTTTATTTTTTTTTTAGTTTTTGCAGACATTTCAATTTCAGAGCAGCTTCCACTGTCACTGGATCCTCGGGTGCTGGTCAGTTGGTGGGTTGCGAGCATGCGTGCAGTGATCTGTTCTGGAACTTTGCAGCCTCTGTATGAAGCCACAGAGTTTCTCATTTTATAAATACAGATTAAATGAATTTCTAAACAAAGAAAGAATATAAATAAAAGATTTCATGCAAAAAAGATGGACCTGTCGGCTGCGGTGCAGACAACCGCGTTCGGGGTTGCCTGCATCACTACTGTGCCACTGTGCGATCACGGGGACCCCGAGAGCAACCAGGAGGATCAATTTGCAAATATTTGCAATTGTTTGATTAGTCTATAATTGTTGCGGAGTTTTGCAGTCAATTTAGCGCGAATAAGGGGCGAATTCCGCGTCAGAGCCTGCAGCAGGCTCATTGCGCAGCAGCTGTTCAGACTGCGGCTTGATCTGGGGGTGGTTTCGCCGCCAGACTGCAAACTCTTCGTTGAAAGAAAAGTAAAAAGAGTTTGCTTCAATATTTTGCGAACGGAGCTGCTCAAAGTGGCAGCACTTGGTATGAACTGGTGTTCACAGTTTGCTGGCAGCATGGAGCCTGCGCAGGCGGGGTCTTCGCCTATTCTGGCCTCCCCCGTTGAAACCCCCCGCAGCAGAGACTCCCGGAAGGATTCAACTGTCCTAGAATTGGCAGATCATGGCCTATTTTTGCCTCTTTCCCCGCGAGACCTCCAGCCGTCGCTGCGTTCCCCGCTGCTGGCGCTGGAGCGCACAGCCACGCCCCTTGAGCTCTGCAGCACTTCCCCCCATGGACCACTGGTCACCCCCGACGCCTGTCCACTCGTGGGCCTCGAGGACCACCGCCGTGTGCGCTTTCGGGACTGCGACGAGGAGTGGCTGCTGACGGAGGAGATGTCGGTGGCCAGCGCTTCGCTGCGGGCCACGGAAGAGGCCCCCCTGGGGCCTCTGGGGGACGCAGCAGCAGCAAAGCTCGACGAAGCCTCCCCTGCTGCAGCAGCAGCAGCAGCAGCGGCGGCGGCGCAGCCCCGTGGCTGCAGATCTCCCCTCGCCGCAGCGTGCAGTGTACGTACACCTGGGGCCGCGCAGCCGGGACGCGCAGCAGCCCGCTGCAGCAGCCCGGGCAGTCCTTTTGCTTCTCCAACTCTGGCAGCTTCTCATTCTTTTCTTTACCAGCAGCAGCTCCGCAGCAGCTCAGTGGACCTTGCTGCTGACCACTGGCTTCCTGCTGCGCGCTGCAGCAGCAGCGGCAGCAGCAGCTCTCGCTGCGCGCCCCGGCGCTGCCCAGCTCGCGCCGACCCGCGCCCCCCGCCACAACACCCACAACCCTCAGCCCCAGCCCCAGCAGCAGCAGCAGCAGCAGCAGCAGCAGCAGCAGCAGGCCCTTCGGGCCCCCGCGGCCGCCGCCACACAGCCCCCGGGGCCCTGCGAACTGCCCTCATTCGCTCAGCCGACGGCAGCGTCCACCGCCGGCCGCTCCACAGGCCTCCGTGTCTGAGTACAACTCAGCCCCCGAAGTCTTGTGTGCGGCTGCAGCAGGAGGCGGGCTGCAGCAGCAGCAGCAGCAGCAGCAGCAGCGGCGGCGGCGGGGGAGGGGGCTGCGGGGGGGCGGCGGCGTGCGGCAGCGCGGAGGCCGCGGGGCCCTGGGCCGCCTCCTGGGGGTCCCACAGCCGCGGGGGGCCCTGGGGGGCCCCCTGGGGCCCCTGGGGGCCCCACATGGGTACAGAGGTGGGGGCCCCCCAGTGGGCCCTCCCCCCAAGGCGCTCTCTGTCGGGCCCGGGGCCCCGGTTCTCCCGGTTTCTAGACCCGGTGGCTGCTGCTGCTGGGGCTGCTGCTGCTGCTGCTGCTGCACCTCTGGCGGGCCCTGGGGGCCCCTGGGGGGGCCCCCACAGGCCTTACCAGCCGCAGCTTTGCCAGCCCGCTGCACTGGTAGATATTGCTTCTTGGGACTTCGAATGAAATGCAATTAAGAGCTCACTAGCACTAGACTTGCTGCACTTGCTGCTGCTGCTGCTGCTGCTCTGATAGCTGCACTTGCTGCTGCACTTGTGTTGGCGCTGCGGCCGAGAGGACCAGTGGACCACTGCGGAAAAGACTCGGCGCTGGAGTGAGGAAAAAAAAGGAATTCAAGTTGGGAGTTGATGGGGTTTTCTATCTTTGCAAAATGCTTAGTGAAGAGTGCATGCGCATGCACTTGGGAAACAGATTAATGACAAATTAAATATTAAATGAACTAGAAATCAAATGCCCAGGCTTTTGAAGGCGCAGGGGCGAAGAGGCTCGCAGACTGTCCGGCGTTGGCCCAGCTTTCTGTTTCATCTTTTGCAAATGGACTCAGCCGAACAAATAAAATGAAGTGAATTTAAATCAACTGCAGCAGCAACAAACTCTTCAGCAAATGACGCACAGAAACCAGCCAAGACACCTTGCTCTCGCCGCAGAACTAGGAACTGCATGCATGCAAGGCTGCGCATGCATGCACGCTCGTGCATGTCTGCAAAAACACTTTCGCTTCGAGTGTACGTACACCTGGGCCCTATGTACGCATTTAGAACTGCAGAAATACATAAAAACACTTACGCAAATGCGTATGTGTGCATGTGTACACGTGGGTCTAAAGACACAAGCGCATTTCGTTTGCATGCACGCGGACTTCCAAGAAAAGCCTGCACACGCGGTGTATGTACACACTCTTCGCACCAGAAAGCCCACAGAAAGGCAACTGCGCTGTCACAAATAGACAAGTACACACAAAGGCACTTGTAGATTGGCCCGATGGGCGAGTGGCACAAGACGAAATCCATTTCTAAGTGCTGGGCAGCCCCAAGGGGCGGCAGCTCCTCTCCAAATGCATCCATGCATGCAAATCTGCACGCATGCAAATCTGCATGCATGCAAATCTGCATACACGCAAATCTGCATGCACGCAAATCTGCATGCATGCAAATCTGCATGCATGCAAATCTGCACGTATGGAAATCTGCATGCATGCAAATCTCCACGCATGCAAATCTGCATGCATGCAAATCTGCATGCATGCAAATCTGCATGCATGCAGGTTTGCATGCACACAGGGTTGCATGCATGGAAATCACGGGTCTGTTGGCCTTTTCGCGTCTTGAGGTGCTGCTTTCTGCGCCCCCTTTTCCTCAGCTTCGGACTCCGTCTCAGTTTCACTCGCGCGGGCCTTCTGCGCGTGCCGTTTGTCCCACTCTTCCGCAAGTCTGCATTCATTGTTGAACTGTTGTCTCTGGCTTTCGAGGCAGTACTGCAGGCGTTGGACCAAAAGCCGCAAATGGGGGCTTTCCTCTTTGCGAGCACTTCGCAGCAGATAGAGCGGCACTAGCTGCTCCAGCAGGCCCTCCCCGAGCCCGCCGTGGCTGCTGGCTTTGCTGCTGTGGCTGCTGCTGCTCGTGCTGCTGTGGCTGCTGCTGCTCGTGCTGTTGCTGCTGCCGTTCGTGCTGCTGCTGCTGCCTGTGGGAGAATCTGTGCGCTTCTGCGCCGCAACTTCTTCTTCTCTTTTGCCTTCGCCTGCTGCCTCAGTGCTGCAGCTTCCGTGTGTTCTTTGCTCGCTTTGTTGCCTTTCTTTCTCTTCTTTAATATAATCATCTTTGTACTTTTCTTGTCGAGTTCTGTCCATGGCGCTCTCGAGCAAAGTGTGGAAGCGCTTCAGCACGCTGCGCATGCACAGCTCCTGCAGCGGCGGGAACAGCCGGCGCTTGATTTGCTTGTCTTCGTAGTTGAAGTTAAATCCCGATTTGCAATTCGAATTTAAATCAAAACAAGATCCAAAATATGGATGTTGCTTTATTTCTTCAAAGCCCTTTGCGCCGAGACGCTGAGACGGCTCCGCCACCAGCAGCCGCTCCACTAAGTCGCGAGCCAGCGGGTCAAAGTCCGGCGGAAACTCCAAAGCCCCAGATTCTACCTGAACAAATTTAACAAAAAAGAAATAAAATGCGGAATGCATGCATTCCGGCAAGCAAGCCCCGCTCTTCGCGCAGATGCTTCTGCTCATGCAAATGAGCAGAAACGCCTAAATAGCCACATCTTTATGAACATGAAGGTGTATCTTCATCTTTATGAACATAAAAGTGTATATTTTCACAAAAATAAAAATGTATTCAAGTAAAAACAAATATAGTACACACAAATATTCGTGTCCGCTTTTGCCAAAGTGCTCATTTTTGCCTGTTCTCAATGCGTATTAAGCCGCTTTAGTGTAAAGCTTGCTGACCGCTGCACTCGTGCTGCTCATAAATCAGCAGGGCCTTTTGTATTTTGCGTCGCCTTTAGACTATTTTTTCAGCTGGCAGTGATGGCTTAAGAACAGAATTGAATAAATAGACAAATGCAGCACGAAATTGCACGAGAAAAGGTGTATACTGATTCAATAACGAGCTTGCGCTGGGGCACTCAGTCACAAAAGCCGGATTTAAGAAACAAAAGGATAAAATGCGAAATAAATTGACTCGCTTTCTTACGCGCAGCAAGATGAAATAGTCCGTAGAGCCGCCAAAGGGAGGCGTGCCTGCAGAAAATGGAAAAAGAAATAAAATGAGAATTCAGAAGTGTGTGCCGACAACTCCACAAGCTCACAAAATAGACAGCAGCAAATAAACATCTTTTCTGAAAGTATATGAGGGCGCTGACGCACAAAAAAACTTGGGAGTTTTCGTGCACATGCGCATAGGTGAGCTCTTCCCGGCACAGTTAGGCTACGGGTGAAGAGTATAGTGCCATTATGAGTATTTTAAATGTAAATTTGCATTAAAAGATTGAAAAAAAAATTCCTCTTCGATTCCATATGATTAAATATCCCCTTAAACGAGGCATTTCGGGCAAGTTTTCCAGTGCCAAGACCCAGATCTTGCGCCCGAAAGTGGAGTGCAGCAATTCAACTTTTTCTTTTTACTGCAGCGCGCAGCAAAGAACTCACCCGTCAAAATCTGATAAATTGTGCACCCGAGACTCCAAAGATCTCTCAGCTTTCCGCTGTCTTTGTTTTTAATTGCCTCCGGCGCCATGAATTGGGGGGTGCCGACGAAGTGTTGAAACGTGGGCCTCCGGATGGCTCTGCGGCTGCACCAAAAACGAAATTCATGCAATTCACTACAAATGGCGAATAAAAACTGATTAAATAGGACTCAAAATAAAATAAAGTTCAGCAGCAATCGAGGCACATGCATAGGGGCGCTGGAGGAGCTTCAGTCCGGCACAAAAAGCGAATTTTTCTGCATTAATTGCACTAATTGCAATTATGTATAGGCTAGTAAAACAGGAAACTCCGATATGTGCACCCAGCTACAGCCTGCATGCGCAACTCGCGAATCTTCAGCCAGCGGCGCTGCACATTTTTGACCAAACGAGTTCAACAAAAGGACCATTAAACCAATTATTTCAAACTGCAAATAAAAATAATGCATAAATAGATGTTTAAATGAATCAAATTGGTTTAAAATCTTCACAGATGCTCAAATGGATTAAATGGATTTGAAATCTTCACCTGAGGCCCCCACCAAGACAGCCTGCCACCGGGGGAGTGCGGGCCCCCAGGCCCGGCGCCTCCACCTCGGGGTGGTCTAAGTCCATCGCACTGCCGAAGTCAATTATTTTAATTAGACCCTCGCGGCTCAAGACAATATTTTCAGCCTGCAGCAGCAGCGGCAGCGGCAGCAGCAGCAGAAAGGTCAAGTTTTCCGCGGCCAAGAGACGAAAAGCGCAGCCAAAACTGCCCCATATAAACCCCAAGCAAAGAAGAGACAAAATAAAGGCACAAAAAGGACTTCATCATTGAACGCCTTCGAAGCTGCCCCACGGGGCTCTATATGGCGCTCCGCTGCCACTTGCACTGCCGCTGCTGCTGCTGCTGCGGTTGCTGCTGCTGCTGCTGCTGGGTGCACTGCCGTTGTTGCTGCTGCTGCGTGAAGGGCCTCTGACGGTCCTGTGGGGCCCTTGGGGCCCCTCTGCTGCTGCAAGTAAATCCCTAGGGCCCTTAAAAGCCTTAAGAATTTTGGGAAGCTCCTTAAAGATCCTAGGTGCCCCAAAAGGTTCGAAAAGGCCTTGAGAGCTTCACGAGTTTTCGAGGCCTTGGGGCCCCTGGGGGCTCCTGGGGCCCCCAAAGACCGCGAGCAGCTCACAGGAGACTTAGATATGTTTGGGGGCTTTTTTGAAATGCCAGTAAATCCTGGGGGCCCCTAAATACATTTGAAAAGTGTCCTGAGGCCTCAAAACCTTTTTTTGTTTTAATTGCATCCGCTCACCTTCAAATCTCTGTGGACTATGTTTTTGGAGTGTATGTACTCCAGGGCTGAGACAAGTTGCGCTATTATAGTCAAGGCCCATTGCTTGTCCAAGATGCCCGCGAACTTGACGTGATCCCACAGCTCTCCCCCTCTACAAAGAATAAAAATGCAAAAAGAGAATAATAAATAATAATATAATTGCAAAAGTATTTCATTATTTTACGCCCAAGTCGAGATATACCTACACTGCACCCACAACTAGGCCAAGCCTGCGCTGGCGCAGGCCAAACTAACAACGCTGTAGAACTTGCACGCATGCATTTTTGCATGCATGCAGAAAATGCATGCATGTTTTGCATGCATGCAAGTTGCATGCATGCGCGCATGCATGCGAGGCCCTGCAGCTTCTGCGGGGCGCTGACGCACTCTGCAAGTTGGTAAAGAAAACAAACTCTGAACTCGTCTTTGAAAGTGTCCACCAAACGAACCACATTCGGATGGCCCGGCTCATTCAAACGCAGCATTGCGTGGCGCTCCATGCGCACGTCTGCGACTTTGTTTAGCCGCATCACATCGCTCTGCGCAGCAGCACAAGTGCAGCAGCAGCAGCACAAGTGCAGCAGCAGCAGCACAAGTGCAGCAGCAGCAGCAGCAGCACAAGTGCAGTAGCAGCAGCAGCAGCAGCAGTGCAGCAGCAGCGGTGAAAGTGCAGCGGCAGCAGCACAAGTGCAGCAGCAGCAGCGCAAGTGCAGCAGGAACAGCACAAGTGCAGCAGGAACAGACCAAACTCAGAAAAGTAATTTATCCCTTTTAAAAGTAAGAGAAACCGAAGGAAACGAAAAACGACAAAAAGATATACAACTCAAGATCTGCTGCTGGGGCAACTTTGAAGAAATGCAAAAGGTCAAAAGGCCTTTTGCATTTCTTTATTTACTTTTATGACGGCAAAATCCACAGAAGGCATTTTGCCGTCATAAAAGTAAAGGCAAAACAAGTGCGGCTTCAACTTTGGTGCTTTAAAATTAAAAATAAAACAAAATTAAAAATAAAAAGATGAATTGGATGCAACTTTGGTGTTCTCGAGACGTCGAAATGCAAACAATAAAAGAAAATATGAACGAGCTTAAGGGGGTTTGAAACATTCCAACGTCATAAAACTCGGAATTAATATTTCCTTGAATTTATGTTTGATTTTCTGTTTTTAAATTCACTTTATATAAATATTTGTTTATATTTGTTTATATTGCTGAATTTGAACACCTGAAGAGCATGCACTGTTCTTTTGGGTCACTCTGGCATCAAAAGACTTACGGCTGCGGCTGGAATAACTATATGGCTGAGCAATTAAAAGATAGAGGAGTTAATTAATTAATTAATTAATTAATTTAGATCTAATTATTTAACTCGTTGGCAAGAATACTTCTGTTTGGTGTTTACCCTGTTGAAGACTTTCAGCGCGTAGGTGTTGGTGGTTCCTTTCTCGGTGACTTCGAAAACTTCCGAAAAATTTCCATTTCCCAAATATCTTTCGAGTTCAAAATGGTCAAATGTGTACTGAACATAAAAATAGAGCAAAAACGGAAAAAAGTTGGAATAAAATCCAACAAAAAGAACTGAATTGTACAAAAAAAAGAAAGATGAACTGTTCTAGGAAAGATGGACTGTGCTGCAGCAGAGCCTCGATCTTCTAATAGATAGTTGCACTCAAACACTTTGGATAAAAATTGGCGTAGAAATAAATTTAAATGAAGAAGTAAATCCTTTTGAAGATGAATATTAGGAAAAACTCGCTAAGTGGGAGCTGTGTTGCACATTCGGCTTGTAAATTACACTGGCAATTGCCCAGAAATTATTTCACCAAGACCAATTTAAATTAAAAACTCTTATAAAAGAAAGTTGTTTTGATAAAAAACAAAAAGGACAGAAGTACGGAGAAACGGGCCCAGGAAAACGGCCAGACAGACACGCACACACAACGCAACAGTTCAGAAAGGAAATAGAAAGACAGACAGGTAAAGGACACGCAAATAGAATGCCCCCAAATAAAATGGCCAATATATATGGGGAAATGGGCATTTAATATCTCATTTCTTCTTTGTTTTCAGTTTTAGTTCAAGTTTTTTGCTGCACCTGAGACCACGCTGTGTGCGCACCGCGTGGAGGCATCTTACAGGCTATTTTCATGAATGTAAAGAAAGTCTAATAGTGCACAACAAGACAAAAGATGAGTCAAAGGCAGGAGGATTAAGTCGAGGGATTTCAGCAAAGACCACAGCTACTTCAGGCTGGCAACGGTGGTCGATACACCTCGAAAGCAGCTGGCGGCTGTTGAGGCGTTTTCGAGGATTATCGAGGTAATTAATAAATAATGACAAATAAACACACTTGCACTTCAAATATTTTAGGAAAAGAACGCAGGAAAACGGCATTCTAACGGTGTGTAGTGGGTTACCTTTCCATCTGGCGTTTTGGGCGACTGGCGCTGCGGAGGGCGAATTTTCGAGCATCTCGGGTCATCGGAAGTCAAAAATCCTTTTTTCATTTTGAAATTTCGTTGACCAAATAAAATAAGATGCAAAAAACCGCGGAATAGAGAGATCGACTCGCATAGACCGGCAGTGACTGCGTAGTCAGTCAGCCGGAGGAGTCGCGGCGCGAAGAAAGCGAGCCGAATGCAGCGATTTTGGCATAGGTTTGATTTATATTCAAAAATTATTATCATTCAAATTTTTTATACATTTAATGCGCACTTTATTTTAACGAGATAAGCCACTGCCGACACTCGACAGCCAAATCGGCTTCTTGCAAGATGCATGCCCGATCTGCATGCAGAGCAGCAGCTACAATCCAAGGCCCACGTGGGTTAGTTACACCCAAAAAAGTTTTTAAATTAAATTATTCAAAACTAATTACAATTTGTACCAGACTTGGTGTCTTTTTGCACCTCCTGAGCGGGCCACTGGCTGATGTCACTTGTGTCTGCCTGCGCGTATGTGCACAAGTGCAATACACCACTGCACTGTTCTCTTCACCTTGAGAACTAAATATATCTTTTTTCTTTTTGTTAGCTACTCTGTCTTTTATCTGCAACTTCCCACTGCGCTCTCTAGTACATAAGAGTCCACCAGCAGCTCCCCCGATTGCAGTTAAAAACTCGCAGGAGCTCTAAAAAGTCCCCATATTAAGATAGACTGTCTTAAACTCACTAAGCTAGAGCTGCATAAATGCCCCTTCTGGGCCTAAGAGACCACTGGACCTCCCCCCCAAAGGCACATTCTAGGTAATTGCAAGTGGTGCGGAGGAGTCTAGGGGCCAGAGTTGTATATGTTCATGACTGTTTCCACTTGGAAAAAAGTTAAAGACGATTCTGTGGACTTGGAAAAAAATTAAAGACCCAAGTAGCTGGCCAGTGGCCTGCGTGTTGAGCCCCAGATGCACAGGGAGTTTGAAACTGTTATTGCACCATTTGAGGAGCTACAGAAAGCCAAAAAAGAAGAAAAGCGCGACAAATAAACAACTCGGAAAGACCGCCTAGTGTTCTGTTGCACAACTCAAAAAAGAAACAGCGAAGGCGACAGAGACCGCAGGGGCTGGTTGAGGTGTATGTACAGACAAGCCTGAGGTGTATGTACAGACAAGCCCAACACGAAACATTTAAAACCAGAACCACCAACCCCACAAGTGTGCCTTAAAGATGCAGAAACCCCCCCTCCTTTGGCTCCTTAAGATAGCTGCCGCATTGCGTGTGGCTGGGCTGCCTGGGGCAGCAAAAGGCCCTCTAAAATGCCTACGAGAGGGTCTTTGTGAGCCCCTTTGAGGGCCTCACAAAAAGCCTCCGGGACTTCTCTGAAAAGGCTTCTTTCGCAGCCCCGAGGGCAGCTCCTGCCGGGCTCTTTGGGCGCTTATAGGGGGCGGATGAAGGGCCCCTAGGAGGGCCATTTGGCGGTTTTCTCTTGCGGATGAGGAGCCCCTGAAGGGGCATTTAAGTGGGCCTCTTGGGGGATTTTTTTGGTGGGTTAGGGGCCCCTAGAAGGGCATTCAAAGAGGCATTTTGGCAGTGTTTTCTGGCGGATGAGGGGCCCCTAGAAGGGGACTTAAGTGGATCTTCGGGGGGTTTTCTTTGGGGGTTTAGGGGCTCCTAAAAGGGAATTTAAGTGGGCCTTTTGGAGGTTCTCTTTAGGACTTAGGGGCCCCTAAAAGGGTATTTAAGTGGGCCCTTTGGGCTTTTTTTCTTGGCTGCTAGTGGCTGTGAGTCTATCACCGATTTGCCAGTCTTTAAAACCCTCACAAACCACTCCACACTCAGAGGGAAAAGTGACAAAGTCCTTCGACTCCTTCCCCACTTTCAGCGACACCACGCGGGCGGCCTGTAAAGACAAGCGCATGCATGCACACGCATGCGCATGCAAGTGCATGCATGCGCATGCAGACCCAAGTGGAGGCTGCCTGCAGCAGACTCTTCATGCATTGTTGCAACTGTATCTACTCCCCGCACACAGACATTCGACGCCACCCTAAACCCTAGAACCCTAAACTCTAAACCTTCAGGGACTAGGGTTTAGGGTCTTAGGGTTTAAAGCTATGCTGCGCAGCGACTTGCATAGCGTTTGTTATTTAATAAGCACTGGGGTGGGGGGCCCCCAAAACTCTCCAAATATTGGGGGCCCCCTAGGGGCCTCTTTTGCAATCTCTTACCTCCTTCAACTTTTGCCCTTTTCTGAAAATGCCCACGAGGTCTCCCTTTGTCAGCTTTCCACGTAAGACATCACAGCCAGCCACCACAACGCCCTGCATGCATGCAGCAGCAAAAGAAGCAAAAAGGGAGTTTGGCAAGGACCTTTTGGGTGTTTCAAAATGGAAAAATAAAACAAATGCATTTTAAATGCCTAATGAGATGCCTAGGAAGCGAATTTCAACTTTAAAAAGTGCAATTTGAAATCTTGCAGCTTTTGCCATAAGCCGCACCATCAGCGGTTGATGGGGTGTACGTACACCTCGGCTGAGGCTGCAGTGTACGTGCAGGTCGGAGCTACAGGGGACTTACATGCGACAAGCGAAATACCTTTTTAACTGCCAATTGTGCCACATCTTCTGAGTCTTTTCCCGGTCCATCGGGGGTCCCCGAGGCCCCTTCAGCTGCTGGGGGGGCCCCAAAGAGAGAGTGGGAAAGAAGCCGCTGCTGCACTGCCTCAATTACATCATAAATGACTCGAGTTTGCACTATTTGCACTTGAGCAGCCTCTGCTGCTTGCTGCAGCAGAAGCACACATGCCCCACAAACACCAGCAGGAAAAAGCCACAATAGACAACTCAATAGTGCAGCCGGTAAGAGAAACGCAGCAAAAGAAGCAGCGCAGGTGCTGCTGCTGCTGGTGCTGCTGCTGGTGCTGCTGCTAAAAGGACAGAAAGTGCATGTGCAGCACAGCTGCTGCTGCTGCTGTTGCTGCTGCTAAAAGGACAGAAAGCGCATGTGCTTGCCTTGGTTTCCCGGCTGCATTTGGTGTCGAAGGCCACCAACAACCCCCCCTTTCCGTCTTCGTCTCTGCACTGCTGCACATCTTGCAAATGGCATTCGCCAGCAGAAGCTTTCAGCACTTTCACGAGTCTTTGTGGCCATTTTTGCGGTGTCTGTACACCTCCCAGGCCCTCCGCAGCCTCCTCAGGGGCCTCCAAGGGGGGCCCCTCTCGGGGGGTTTCCCGAGTCCCCTCTTGCGGGGACCCCAGGGGGGCCCCTGGGGGGGCCCCTGGCCGAGACACTGGGGGCGCCGGGGGGCCCCCAGGGGAGCACAGGAGCCACGTGCCCGAAATAGGGTCCAGCTCAGCAGCAAGCCCGTCAACTGCAGCAGCAACTGCTGCTGCGGGGCCCTGGGCCCCCGCGCGCACAGTGACTGGCAAAATAGTGTGCTGCAGCAAAAGACAATAAGACACAAAATGGGAGAAGTTGCTGCAGCAAATAGTGACTATTTGCTGCAGCACATAGTCAGGTTTTGCTGCGCAGCCCTTCTCCCGGGCCTCTCTTATTGAGTTTGTCGCTGCTTCTTTGGCTGCTTGTGGCTCTCCTGTCCTTCTCGCCTTCTCTTTTGGCCAAACTGTTTTAAACAAACAAAAAAAATTGACTTACGTTCAACGGAGGAAACAAAAACAACTTCAAAATAAAAATTCAAAATAAAAATAAATCCACTCCGCACTCACCTCTCGCAGCTGCCCGTGCAGCCGAGCAAACGCGCGCTCCTGTGCCTCTGCTGCTGCTGCTTCTGCTGCAGTAGCCGCCTGCTCGTTCAACAGCCTCTGCAGGAACAGCAGCAGCAGCAGCAGCAGCAGCAGCACAAACATGGGCACCAGAAGCTGCACCAGCACCGTATCTTTGTGGCTCAGCTTGCTGCGCGCCCCTTCTGTACTTCAACACAAAATTAGATAAAATTTTCATCATAAAAACCCCTATGTAAACTTCATATCCGCGCAGGGCTTTGCAGCAGCAGCTGCGCCTGCTGCTCTAGCTACGCCTGCCGCTGGCGCTGCAGCAGCTGCAGCAGCTGCATCAGAAGCAGAAGCTGCAGCAGAATCAGCAGCTGTAGCCAGCTGCATCCGAAGCTGCAGCTGCAGCAGAAGCGGAAGTTGCAGCGGAAACAGCCGCTGCAGCAGTAGCAGCAGCTGCAGCAGCTGCAGCAGTAGCAGCAGCTGCAGCAGCTGCAGGCCGGTGTCGCGGCACTCACCTCTCGGTGCTTCTTGGCTGTCGCCTCTGAAGGCATGACAGCAGCTTCGACTCCCAGCGGCGGCAAATCCTCAGCAGCAAATCCAAAAACTTCAACAACTTTAGAAACTCCAAAACCACTCAGCCGGGCTGGGGGCCCCCGCAGCTGCGGAGGCCCCCCACCCAGTCCTGCTGCGTAGCCCAGCCGCCGCACCCGGCACAGCGAGGGCCCCGCTGCCAGCCAGTCGCCGACCCTGCGAAACATGCAGCCACACTAGCTGCTACCTCAGCAGCAGCAGCAGCAGCAGCAGCGGCAGCAGCAGCAGCAGCAGCTGATGCTGCTGCCGAGAGCCAGAAGAGGCTCTTGAAGGGATTCAGGGGTGCCTCAACAGAGGCCCCTTCCCCCTGCAGTGGGGCCCCCGGTAGCTCCCCCGCAGGGCCCCTTGGGGGCCCCTGTGGCAGTCTTTCGAGGCTTAGGAACCGCTTTGAAAAGCCCTTGGGGGCCCCTTTGGAAAGCCCTTGGGGGCCCCTCTGAACAGCCCTTGGGGGCCCCTTTGAAAAGCCCTTGGGGGCCCCAAAAAGCCTCACTTGATTGTGCCCTGTTTTATTAGCAGAGAGGCGCTGCCCCCGTTGCTGGCGCTGCAGTTTGTTTCTAAGACGAGGCCCCTGGCGGGGCCCTCTGGGGCGGCCTGCAGGTCCATTTCCTCCGCCTGCAGCGCTAAGCACTCTAAAAGATGCAGCATTCCAAATCTGTCTGTTTGCTGCTGCTTTTCCTTTTCCAATCTGGTCTTTTTCCCGAAAAGATCGGCCCCAGGGGCCCCCATTTGGGCCTCCAAAAAGCCCCTGGCGCT